ATTCTTACCACCCATCCCCTACTCCACTCACCCATAATGCATCTTCACACTGTGGCCATCCTGTCTATGTTCACAGATCATAGATCTGGAAGGAAATTTCTAGTTCAGCCATTTGGAAGAGGAGGAAACTGAGGTCTGAGCATTAAATGCCTCACAAAGATCCACAGCCCTTACATCCTTGTACTTGTCTCAGACAGTTGTCCAGGCCAAGGATCCTGGGAATGAATTGCAAGCTCTTAGAGCTGGCAAAGAACGTGGAAGAGGAGACCTCAGAGAAAAGCTAGTCCCTCCTTTTATGAGTGTGTTTGTGTATGTAGGTATATAGATAGGTATGTACTATGTATGTATTTATGTGGGTATGTATGTAGATGTGTGTGTGTTTAGGTGGCAAAGTGGATTAAGTCCTATAGACAGGAAGAGCTGAATTCAAAAATCCTGCCTCAGACATAAGCTGGGCAAATCTCTTAGCCACTGTCTACCTCAGTTTCCCAATCTGTAAAAAGAGGAATAATAATAGTATTCCTTTCACAGGTATGTTGTGAGGGTAAAATAGATAATATTTGTAAAGCACTATAATTGCTAGGTGTTCTTTCATTATCCTCTACTAATATACACCTACAATTGTCCTGCACCTGTTTGTAACGTATAACCTTAGAAATTTGCCTAAGGCATTGAGGGGTTAAGTGACTTGCCCACGGTCACACATACAGAATATGTCAGAAGTTAGACTTGAACCCAAGGCTTCCTGAATGCAAGGCCAGCTGTCTATCCACTCTGCTTTGCCTCCCAATGGGCACTAGAGGGAATGATGTGCCTTGTCCAAAGGTCACACAGGAAGTCCATGGCAGAGTTTAAATTCAAACCTGGTCCTCTAATCCCCAATGCTACACCCCTCTAAAGCAACTTGGGGAAGGGGTCTGGTAAGGAAGAGAGGTGAGGCAGAGAGACTTAAGGCCTAAATACCTTTCCTCATCCCCTACCACCACACATGCGAAAATCCTTTGCCGGCCATCACCAATGACTTCCTACTATGGGTAGCTAGTTAACTTAGTGACTCATACAGTGGAACTGGAGGCAGGAAGACCTGAGTTCAAGTCTGACTTTAGATGCTTATGACCCGTATGATTCCAGGCAAGCCTCTTAATCTCTGTCTGCCTTCATTGCTTCATCTATAAAATGGGCATGTTTTTACTGCACTATATAAATGCTAGCTATTAGGCTAGCTACTAGCTTGGGCGCCATATTTCCTTTTGACAGCTCCAGCCCAAGGAGTGGAGTGTGGGAAGAGTGGAGGAGGAGAACATGAGAGCCTTCTCTCTATTAGCATGTGTGAGACTTGCCTCAAAATCTCTCCCTTAGTAAAAGAACAGAGGTGGGATTCCCAACTTGTGCCATCCAAGGGGCTCTTGTGGTCTTGTCTGCTTGACTCTGCACCTAAACATTTTAAAATTCCTCTGTAATGAGTGAAATCTCCAGATGGAATTGGGATGGCAGACAGCTAAGGGAGTATGGGCATGGGCATTCCATGGCCAGGAAGAGACTGGTGCTATTTTCTGGATTTCTGGTCCTTCTGGAACCTCTAGAGAAGAATACAAAGAGAGAGAGACTCAGGAGAGCCTGAGAAAACGTGCACGCGTGCAAATGCACTTGCGCGCGCGTACACACACACACACACACCGGAGAAATGACACAGCAGGAAAGTGATGCATGAATACACAGAGAGAAACACACACAGAGATGCCAGATGGAGAGTACAAACCAGGCTGGTCCTAGGATATTTATTATTCCATCTCCCACACAGAGGGGCTGGCGGCATTACATAACACACCCCACAAAGGAGGAGGCTGAACACACACACACCAGGGACTCAGGCTGACCCAGGAGATGATCCCTTGGGCTGAGGGGGAGGACATGGATTGACCCTAGCCTCCAGTCCCCAAAAACATTGGATCGTGGGGCAATTGTCTTGGTCCCAGTGAGACTCAGGAAAGGAGCTGAAGGCAAGATGAGGACGAGAGTGTCTGTCATTCACTGCAGCTGGGAGCTCCCCACTCAACTGGGTTGGCTAAGAGGACACCCAGAAGAAAGGAGTGCGCTACTTTGCATGTAACTAGGACTTGAAGGGAGAGAAAGAAAAGAATTGGAATGGTTATTTCCACCGCCCTCTCACACCATCTGTACCATCTCTGACCTGAACCAGATCCCCCAGGATTCAGAGTTAGTCAAAGCCTTTAATTTCATAAATGGGGAAACTGAGGTTCAGAGAAAGGAAGTCACACAAATGAGAGAACACAGCCAGACGTGAAGCCTAGATCTTCTCATTCCAAAGACATTATCCTCTCCACTAGACCATATATACACCCACACCCATTCATGCACAGCAACCACCCACTCATCCCATACATTCACCACACAATCACATGCACACATCAAGATACACAGCCTCCTACACAGCAACTACACAAGTAAAACATGTGCTCACACCCCATACATAGCATACATTCATACCATGCAGCCCTACCATAATCCCACTGTACACAAACATACACATTCACATCCATTGTAATGCTATCACACACACACAAGAAAGAACACATACATATTTGTCCTGACTTAGGGCTAAAATATCAGCATTGAGCCTCACAGAATCACTGACCTAGGAGTTGGAAGGGGGCTCAGGGGCCATCTTAATCCATCCACTTTGGGTCTTACACAAAGGACCTCCAGCTCCCCACTAAGATTAGACCTTTGTTCCCAGCCTGCCTCTGTCCCTTATTAGCTGGATGCCCTTAGTCCTCTTCAAACCTCAGTTTCCCCATCTTTAAAATGAGGGTAATAATAGCACCTATTGTTGTTATTCAGTTGTTTGTCATGTTTGACCCTTCATGACCCCATGGACCATAGCATGACAAGCCCTTCTATTCTCCATTATCTCCCAAAGTCTGTCCAAGCTTAGGTTCTTTGCTTCCATGACACTATCTGTCATCTCATCCCTTGCCATCCCCTTCTCTTTTTGCCTTTGATCTTTCCTAACATCAAGGTCTTTTCCAGTGAATCCCATCTTCTCATTATGTGGCCAGAGTATTTAAGCTTTGGCCTCAGTATTTGACCTTCCAATGAATAGTCTAAATTAATTACTTTAAGTATTGGCTGATTTGATCTCCTTGCTGTCCAACACACTCTCAAAAGTCTTCCCCTAGCACCACAATTCAAAAGCATCGATTCCGCAGTGCTCAGCTTTCCTTATAGTCTAACTCTCACAGCCACACGTTACTACTGAAAAAAATAGAGCTTTGACTATCCAGACCTTTGTTGGCAAGGTGACATCTCTGCTTTTTAGTATGCTGTCTAGATTTGCCATAGCTTTCCTTCCAAGGACCAGGCATCTTTTAATTTCATAGCTTCAGTCATCATCTGCAGTGACCTTTGAACCAAAGAATAATAGCACATTATAATATTACATGTTGTATATATAATATTATACATATATAACAATAATTGTAATAATAGCACCTCCCTCACTGTTTGTTGTGGGCTCAGATAAGATAATGTATATAAAGTAATTTGTAAACTTTAATGTGCACATAAATGTGAGCTATTATTATATTCAAGAGACTTTAATAGTTTTATTTAATCTGCTGATATATTCAAAATGTGCTTATAATCTAGCCTTCAACCATCAGAAAAATATTTTCTTGGTTTCACAGAGCACCAAAATTCCCTCCCTTCTGGTGGGTCTCACGAATTTCCTCTGGACCTCTACAATCCACATATTTCACAGTACCAGCAAAAGTCTGTGTTGCTCTTCTAGTGTGTATTGTTTCCTGTTATCAGAGCCTTATAACCAGGCGAATAATGTGGCACATGAGCCTTTCTCCAGCTCCTTCTGGGTCTATGAAGAGCATGATCTTAGGGCTGGTGTGGCAGTGGGGGGCCGAAAGCCATAAATCCAACAACCCAAGCCCCAGCCCAAGTCTAGAAGACCCTTAGAAGTGATTTATTTGAAAATGACCAATAGTATTTAATCTTTTGTCAGAGAAGTCAAGATTTCAGGTGAAGAGAGGCTTTTTTTTCTCCTCAAGGCTTTCAATATTCAGGATTAAATAAATTAATTTTAAGAACCTATGAGATTCCTACTTTTGACACAGCAATTGAATGAGGCCTTCCAGCCTTATATCCATTACGTACTATAAGTGGATGGATTCATGCCAGATAGACAAGAATAGACTTTGTAATACTATTGACAATAAGAAAACTACAGAAGAATGTCACATACACTAAAAGAATGTCTGGAGAACATTTGTGAACCTTCTTTCTTTTAATTATTTCCTATTTATCCTGCATAGCTTGCTTTGTATATCTTTATTTGCATTTTGTCTCCCCCATTAGGTTGTATGCTCCCTGAGGGCAAGGACTGTCTTTTGCCTCTTTTTGTATCCCCAGAGCTTAGCATAGATCATGGCACATAATAGGTGCTTAATAAACGTTTATTGATTGGTTGCAACTCATCAAAAGCAAAATCATTCTTCCAGTTTGTTGGTGGTATTTATTGGTAGGGCAGGAGGAAGTGAATAGGGTATGCCATGTAAATGAGGCATTGTTCTGTGAACTAACATTATTCTGCTGCAGAAGGGAAAAGACCATTGTCTTGTACGTTGGGTCCAGGAGGGATGTAGAGAGGATTTGGCATAGAGCCCTTAAGTTTCTCACCATCTCATTTCTGGTTCTGACTGTCAATGGCACCCCTAGGGAGACCCTTTTGTCACTGAGGTCTTTGATCATGGAGATATAATTCTGTAATTTACAGCTGACTGGGAAGGGAATCCCCTCGAGATTAGGCTCATTTTCTGAGTTGCCCTCAAAACTCTGTCCTGAGGTTCCCAACAGGAATGTCTCCTGGTTACCTTATTCAGGTCTATGCTTCCCATTTTTATTTTCCATGCTCATCGATCTCATGTATCTTTTCTCTCTCTTTCCTTTCCTCTCCTCTCTGTTTTTAGCTCAAGAAGCCACCAGTCCATTCTCAGCATGACAGTTCATCTACTGAGACACCTATGAGAAAAGTTGCTGCCCTCATCTAACTAACAGTGAGGAATGATCTGGAGTTGGCACGTCTCATCACTAGAGCAGCTCCTAGGGGCCCTCTCTGTGCCAGAGTGGTATTGCCAGATTTGGCATCTGTTTCTTTGGGACTGAATCTTCTTCTGTTCTGAAGCCCCCAGGAGAAGTCACCCATCCCTCCTTTGGAGCAAGAGAGTGAGAGCAGCAGTGAATCATACCATGCCCCAGAAATTGAGATTGGAATGAATAGATGCCACCAGATGATCTGCACCAGTTGATATCCAAGACCAATTACTCAAACGCCAAAGAACCAATCCTTCTCCTGAGCCTGTCTCATACAACTCCAGCCCCAGCAGTATCCATCTTCTTAACTCCTTTTTTTGAGGTCCAGAGAGTGTTCCTCATTCAGGGACAAAGCCTCTGATCACTAAGGCTTACACTCATTGGGCCAGATACTCTGAAGTTACAATGGAAGACCACATGTTTAGTGTTCAACAAATTCAACCCAATGTCATTTCTGTAAGGCTGTTCAAACGCAAAGTGGGAGGCTTGGGATTCCTCGTGAAAGAACGGGTTAGCAAGCCTCCAGTGATTATATCTGACCTGATCCGGGGTGGGGCAGCTGAACAGAGTGGTCTTATCCAGGCAGGAGATATCATCCTTGCAGTCAATGGCCGGCCCTTGGTGGACATGAGCTATGATGGTGCCCTGGAGGTTCTGAGAAGCATTGCCTCAGAGACTCATGTGGTCCTCATCCTGAGGGGCCCAGAGGGCTTCACTACACACTTGGAGACTACATTCACTGGTGATGGGACACCCAAGACCGTCCGGGTGACCCGGCCCCTAGGCCCAGCCACCAAAACAGTGGACCTGTCCCACCACACCGTGCCCAGCAAAGATCAGCCCCCAGGGCCAGACAGCGCTGTGGCCCTTTGGAACGTGCCTCAGCACCCCAGGAAAAATGGTCAAGACAATTCCCTGGCACAAACCAATGGCATGGTACCTGACCAGAAGGGTGAGGAGCCCACAAAGAAAAGTGCCCTGGCTGGCCTGCATGGTGGTGGGGAGAGCAATGACCTTCTCCAAGAGATCCAGCCAGTGCTGAACCTGCTTACCAGTGGCAAGAAGGAAATCAATGGAGGGCGGCCACACAAGGCAGAGACAAGAGATGCAGAAGTCCAGGCAGACAGGTAAGCCCTGTGGCAGGTGTGTGTGCATGTGTGCTTCAGCCTGGCAACCCAGAGACCAGGTTTACCTGCCCCAGTTACATGGACATGTAGCCAGCCAGCTCAGCCACATCCCATAAAAATTTAGGAAGTTACCTGGAAGTAGGTCCCAGCAAGGGACATGGTGATGGGCAGGAGGGGATGGCACGTGACTTGGGGGGAAAGAGCCAAAACTTGAGGTAGGGGTGGGGTGCTAACATTTACTTCATACTCCTCTCTTTTATGTAGTAGACAGGAGAGAATGTGGGAAAGGATGAGAGACCTGTTATAGAAAGAAAAATGTTTTTCTAATGTTTAGACCTACCCATAAATAGGATGGGCTGGCAGTCAATAATTATACACACCTAGGCACTGTACTAGGTGCTGGAGATACAGAGACAGTCCCCACCCTCACGGAATTCATAGTGGTGCTGCATGCCCAGGTCTCTCTGGCTGCATATTGAGAGTTCCACCCTTGTAGGGAAAGGAATGACCACCCCCCCCGAGACCTACTCTGCTCATGACACACAATAAGCCTCTTCATAACAATCTGTTGTGTTGTATTTGTAACTGGACAGGAAGGGAAGAGAGGCCTGATATATGAAAACACTTGCTAGTGGGCTATCCATAAGTGGAATGAGCTGACCCCGAGGAGGTCAGTCAGCCAACAAGCATTTAGATGTGCCAGACCCTGTGCCAAGTTCTGGGCACACTGACAAAGACAAAAGCAGACCCTCCTCTCTAGGCGCTCACAGGGGGAGACAACACGCAAACTATGTGCATTCAAGATCTGTGTGGTGGAAGGCAAACTCAGAGGAAAGGACCTCGTCAGAGAGAAAAGGAGAAGGGGAGGGGGCATCAGGAAGGGCCTTCTTCAGCAAGTTGGAATTGGGATCCCCTTCATTGGAGGTCAGCAAGCATAGACTAAATGACAATTTGTCGGGTGTTTTATAGTTAGATCGTAAGCTCCTGGAGGGCAGGGGCTTTCTTTTGTCTCTTTGTATCCACAGGCTTAGCGCAGTCCCTGGTCCATGGTAGACGCTTAATAAATGCTCGTGGATTGATTGATAATGGCGATTCTTTCTCAGGTACAGGTTGGACTAGAAGGGCCTTGAAGTCCCAACTCTGAAACGCTATGATCCTCTGATTTCCTGTGTTTCTACCCTCCACTATGAGGGCAAAACATAATTGAAGCAAATGCCTTCCTGTAGTCTGAGGATCTGGGTTCTGATAACACCTCTGAGGTTTATTACCCATGTAGCCCTGGGCAAGTCCCTTCCCTTCCCTGGTCCTCAGTTTCCTCATCTGTAAAATGAGGAGGTTGGTCTAGATGACCACCGAGGTTCCTCCTAATTCTAGATCTATAGTCCTATGAACCACGTCTACATCTGCATCCCTAGCCCCCATCACTCAAAAGCAAGAGTATAATCAATCAATCAATCAACAAGCATTTATTAAGCACCTACTGTGTGCTAGACCCTATGCCTAAGGATTAAGACAGAAAGAAGTGAAACAGCCTCTGCCCTCAAAAAAGTTTATATTCTACTATGCTTATATTCTATTATGTTTACTTTCTATTATATAAGCCCTACCAAAGACATGCAGGGTAGTTTTGGGAGGAAGATTTGCCCCACCCTACCCCTCCCCAGTGACTTGGCACTGAGCTACCAAGCCATCTCCTCCATCCACACCCCCAGGAGCAATGAGAGCCTGTGTTACCCTTGACTACTTGAAGGTCTTCAAACAGGACGCTACATTGAATATCTCCAAATCATTGCACCTTGTGTCCTCCATGCCTGGATGCTCTGCCTTCTCTCTTCTACCCCTCAATTTCCCTGGCTTCCTTTCAGACTCAGATCAAGTCCTATCATCTGCCCTTCGTAGTCCTCTATCACAGCGGAACCTTTCCTCTGAGATTATCTCCCATCTACTCTGTATAGTCCTGTACATACATAGTTGTTAGCTTATGGTTTCCCCCATTAAAATGTGAGTTCCTTGAGGGCAGAGACTGTTTTTGCTTTTCTTTGAGTTCTTAGAACTTGGCAAAGTGCCTGGCACATGGCAAGTACCTATTAAATATATGTTGATGAACAATAGAATAACTAATTACAACAGTTAAGTCGACCTGGTCCTTTTTCACTGAAATAGGGACCAAATCCAGGTCAAATCATTCACAGGGTGGGAGTGGCATGGTAGACAGAGAAAGGGTGTTAGTCCAAGCTGCAAGAGAATTAGCTGGCTGACAACCAGAGAAAGATTTCCCCCTAGGGAACAATCCCACTGCCCCAGGGCAGCAGACCCCTTCCCCAAGTGTCCCTATGCTAGTGCATGCAGTTGAGAAAAACTATTCCAAAGCGAGGCTCTATTGTGATTATCCTGGCTGTCTCCCAAGTCTCATTAAGTTGAGCTAAATTACAAAGCCACTTTAGAATTGAGAATTAAAGGTCTGGACCATATGATTTCCAGGAGGCACAGAAAGAGTACTCTTCTTCACAGCCTACTCACTTGGCAGCCACTAAGGGAGAGCACAGTTCAGCCTACAAAAGATCAGCTCTCATTTCGTACTCCTTTCTTGTATCCCCATCCACCCCACAACCTATCTCAGTGACTTTCTAATGAGAAAATGAATCCAAAAATGAAACCTCTACCTTTCTATATATGGAGTAGTTAGCTCTTCCAACTCCACAGCCATGATTCTTTTTGACATCCAGTGTCCTATTCCAAACAGTGTAACCAATACCCTTCCTTCCTCACCCCACCCTCCCAAGGCAGCCATGACCTTCCCTGAATTCTTTGTTTCCTGAGTTCTCATTCACTAAAGGCATTCAGGTGGATGCTGGATGATCAATTGTCAGTTATTTTTTCTATTTTATTTAATTTTCAGTTTATTTTCTCTTCCTATCTATTTCCTTCCCTTTTCCCATGTAAAAGAAGAAAAAACAAAATCCTTGTACCTACCAAATATGCTAAGCTCAAAGTGGAGGTCGTGAAGAGGGAGTTAAGGGGTAGTAAAGTAAGGATGACTGGGGTCTAGGTGAAGAGATGAAAACAGGAGAATGAAAGCTGATTGCATAAAGCATAGAGCACAGATGCTAAGCACACTTTTCTCATCACCCTCATATTGTTAAAGAGAAGGTAGGGAGAAAGGAAAGGAAAAAGTCTAAAATAATGTTATGGAGAGCAATGCACAATTAATAACCACAACTATGAATGTGAATGGGATGGACTCACCCCTAAAATGGAAGAGGATAGTAAACCTGCTGGTGAAGTTTTGGAGGGGCTTCTTGGTCAAAAATAGGTTGGACTAGATAGCTCTGAAATTCTATAGTAGGATACAGTATGGTTGGATAGAAAGAGCATTAGGCTCTAGATTCTGAGAAGCTAAGTTCAAATCCTACCTCAGACATGTGCTAACTGTATGGCCTTTGGCAAGTTATATAACCCCTTATAGCCTCAATGTCCTCATCTGTAAAAGGAGTTGTGCTAAATCAGGGGTTCTTACGCATTTTTGTGATATGGACCTCTTTGGCAACCTGGAGACCCCTTCTCAAAATCATGTTTTTAAATGTGTAAAATGAGACAGGATTGCAAAAGAAACCAAATAGATCAAAATACAGTTATTAAAATAAAAAAGTTAAAACTCCCTGAAATACATCCATGGAACCATGTTAGGAACCCTTAGACTAGATAATTTCTCTTTTCACTTTACATCCATGGTCCTGTGAGCCACTGCATTCTCTCTTTTGAGGTACCCCTATGTGACTTAGTGCCCTTTCCACCATCCTACCTTAACCTCCTATGGGGCACTGTTCTTTGAGTGTAAGCAGCAGAGACAGCTACTTGAGAGGAAGCTGTGTTTAGATTGTGACTAACTCCCTTGAAGCTTTTCAAGGTGAGTGGCTTCAAAGGAGTACAATATTTGGTGATAATATCTTGTTGTTATATGAAGACCTCTAATTTGTAGTCACAGGCGGTAGATTCGAATCCTATCCTGTTTGTCTTAGCATCAGTCATTCTCATCCTCTGTAACTAGGTGGTGCAATGGATAGAGCTCTGGGCCTCAGGAAGACATGAGTTCTACTCTGGCTGGCTATGTGACCCTAGACCAAGTCACTTTTCCTCTACCTTTGTTTCTTCATCTGTAAAATGAGGATAATAATAATACCCAACCTCCCAAGGTTGTTATGAGGTTCAAATGAAATAATATTTGTGATCAAATGAGATAATATTAGCACATTGCCTGGCACTTAGCAGGAGCTTAATAAATGCTTGTTCACTTCCTTCCCCATTTCCTCTGTGAGGAGGGAGAAAGTTGAACTAAGTGACCTCAAAAGACCCTTTTAGCTCTAGATTCTAGGATATCCTATTTTCTCTGGCTGTTCAGGATAAATCTTTAAGCAGCGACATAATTGTTTGGTAATAGGAATCCTAGGCTTTGTAGGCAAACTGAGCCTGAGAAGGTAAGATTTTCATTATCCAGAGACTGATAGTAGAAGGAAAGGTTTTCCCAAAGATCCCATCTACTTAGAGCAAGCTGGTGGTCAAAGGGTATTCATCTTCACAATTGAATTCCCCCTGGACAGGTCCTCTGGCTATTTTAAGTCACAGATTTAAATCTGGAAGAAGCCCCAGAAGTAATGTAATCCAACCCCCTCATTCTACAAATGAGGAAACTGAGGTAGACATAGGTGAAGTGACTTGTCCAAAGTCACACAGCTAATATGGCAAACATGGGGTTTGAATGCAGTCTTCCAAAGTAGTGTTCTTGCCACCAACCTGTACTGCTCTCCTGAATTTAGGAAGAAAAGTAGTTAAGTGAATTAACTGTAACCTGGCCAAGCCCTCAGACCGGAGTCACTGATGGGAGGCATGCTGTCTGCCTGGCCCTGTTTCCCAGAGACAGGTCACCCTGAACCATTCCCGAGTATGATGGGGGCGGAGCTGGAACAGCAGGCAGGGTGTCATTCAAAGGCAAAGATATCGCG